TATTGACTAAGGGGTAGAAGTTACCTCCATGGCGGACAAGGGGAATCGGCTGAACACCTCCCTCTGAGATAGACCTTTGGCTACCTCGATGTCCTTGGGAGTCCACATACTCCTGTAGTAGGCCATCGCGGTCTAACCATCTTTGAACATGGTCTCGGTCGGCTTCACAGACGATCCGTCTGTTCGGATGAAGCGAGGGCTCCATGGCGCCGTTCCTGAAACGGAGGCTTGCCCAGAAGGGGTGGGGGCCTAGCTTGAGGAGGTCTCGCCAGGGAAATCACATTCGGCCCAGAGGGCCTAACCCTCTGAGACAAGGGAACGTCATCCATGCTCAGAGCACTGTCAGGTTGATGCCTTTTTCCTCTGGCCTTTTCCCGTGCGGAAGCAGCAGTAGAGCCAGGAGGATTGTTGGCAGAGGGGGCAACGTTCGGGCTGGCAGTCGCCGTGTTAGCAACCGAGTCAGCAGCCGTCGCGGATGGATCGGTGGAAGGAGTGGTGTCAGAAAGAGTAGCGGAGGAAGATGCTGAAGCCGGTGAGGAGATTGACGCAGGAGTGATAGCAGGCCTGGGGGCAGATTTCTTACTGCTGAAGGAAGGGATCTGGAGTTGGCTCATTGTCTTGCCGAGGACTGAGATGTCGAGGAGATTATCTGAGGTGAGAAGGTCCGAGCAAAAGGGAACGTTGGTCAGAACGTACCGCTTCAAGTAGTTATCCCTATCCCTGCACACACTGTAGCTCAAGTCATCACAAGGAATGCCTAAGGAATGGCACAAGAAAGAACAAAAACGAGGAATGCAGATCTCGCAAGGACAGTCACTCTTATGGTTTTTATATTTCTTGTAAAAAGAGACAGAGCACTCTCCGAAAGCGCTCGGGATAGGGAAACCCTCCGCAGCTGGAGAGAACCAGGCTCCCCTAACCCCAATAATGTTTTTCCTCCAGCCCTTTTCAGATTTGATCTTATCCGTGCAGATAGACCTCTTCTCAATGGGGAAAAAGTGGTAAAACGGTTCGTCAGTTCTGATCTTGCTGACCTTATAACAGAGGAGAAGATCTACGAGGTCCAGATCCAGACCTTTGTCACGAATCAGGAGTAGCATAACGGATAAAATCCTAAGGAAATTGGTGTTTACTTGTAAAGGGGAAAGATTTAGCTTGTTAAAAACATAGCAGAAGAAAGGATGTAGAGGAAATCTAAGGAGATTGAGATGGAGGAGTGAAAACAAGGCCTCGCCGGGAAGAAGGCCAGCACCGGTTCTAATATTCACTTCCCGGGGACAGTTTCTAATTTCTACATCATCAGGAAGTTGAAGTTTCATGCGAAGAACGTCTAGATCTACTGTCATGGTGTGAGTGGATGAGGATTCCGGGGAGAAGAAAGAAGTCTTCCAAAAGAAAATGCAAATGAAACTAACCTTAGAGAGTGAAAATGGCAGAGAAGTATTGCAAAGCCACTGGAAGGAAGATCTTTCGCAAGAGATAGCCGGAGAGGATTCAAGCAGCAAAAGGTGAGATGGAGACGGTAAAGAGGATCGATGGAGAGTTGATGGAGCTTATAAAGACGAGATAAGCCCGAGAGCCGAGGAGTCAGGAAAGCGATGGGTTGTCTTTTTGAATCTCGAAGTGCCGACCCCTAGATCTAACCGTCCATTCTCCCACACGATCTCCTCGAGCCGTCAGGTCATCATTAGCAGCCTCTAATAATTACCCCCTAATCAATAAGAGGTAATTATGGGGGCAGTTGAGGATGCGGCAAGTGGCATGGGCCGGATATGAATCGCGGAAACGAGATCGGGTCGAATGATTGAAGAAGGATCCATGCCAAAGCACCCCGAAGTGGGCCGAATGTGGGGGGTCCACCGAGGAAGGTCAAGCCCATTACAAGACCCAACCCAGGAGGAAGAGAACTTTGGGCTATAAGCCCAATGTAATTGGTTAACTGCAAAAAAAAGTCATGGCCTATAAATAGACCATGACGGGTGGAAAATAAAAAAAGGAGGAGCTAAGGAGAAGAGAGAGAGAAAGAAAGTAAGAGTGAGAGAGATGAAACGGAAAATTGTATCTTCAATGCAAATACATAGTTTACAAAGTAAACAATAAGCAAACATACATATGGTGAACATTATTCCCCCCCAAATTCTCAAATATTTAGCAAAATGAAACATTCTCCAGCTAGAAAATTCAAAATAAGTGTGTTGTCAATAATTACTTATTGCTATTATTTATTTTATTTATAAGCTTATAATGCAAATACAGAGTTTACAAAGTAAGCAATAAGCAAACATACATATGGTGAACATTATTTATAGATGTGCTTGAGCTACTGCCCAATCACCACATGCATACTCTATATATATTTATTTTCAGTCATCGATACTCTTAACGATCCACTCCTTTCTCTGGGGGCCGCCATAACGCTGCCCACCGTAATTCTGATCATAATAATTTGGACAACGCGGGTAACCACCATTAGTCCCGGAATTGCCATACTCATAGTCCACCACCTCCACCTTATTTGGTGCAGTGGGGGCATGTGCCTCATGGTAATTCTTGTACTCAGTGGTTGGCATCGGGTTCATGTACTTCCCACCAGGCGACGGGAATTGGGAAGTGCTGCTGTTGCAGTTATAAGGCGGCGGCATTTGCCCACCAGAGCCATAGCCGTGCTGGTAGTCACTCGTGTTGTTCTGCCCATAGCCGTGCTGGTAGTCACTCGGCTTCTGCCACCCGTTTTGGTGGTGGTGCTGCTTGTTGTTGCCATACCAGCCCTCGTGTTGCTGAGCACGGCCTCCATCAGGCTGCTGCATCATGTAAGGGTTCGAGTACTGAGGCGTGGCGACGGATGGATTAGGCTTCATTTGCATGCCCCAGTGGTTGCTGCTGGAGTCATCTCCAGGGTAACAACCCTCCTGGTATGCACCATAGGTTTGCTGTTTGTAGCCACCACCAGGGTACAATTCAGTTTGGATGACCATTTTCTATGAACTTCTTTTAGGTTTCTTTGGTTTGGTGTGGGTGGTTACTTTGTGACCTAATTGCTATTTTATAGGCTCAAGAAATTCTATGTAGATGAGAAATGCATCTTATACCCTTTATGGTTTTGTCCTCAATTGCGCACTATTGATCGTAATCTGTTGAGTTGGTATTTGAAAAGACATGGTAATGTTCCACAACTTTATTCTCGAACTTATAAGGAATCTCATAAGCCAACTTTTGATAACCACAAAAATAATAATAATAATAATAATTTCATGCTTATGTTTTGAAGCACCAAAATCGATTTTAACTAAATTTTTTCTAATATTCTAAATTTAAGTCATTGCAAGTGTCATATTGTGCGAGTAGTTGATTGCTACTCATGTCCGGGAGTTCGTGTTCAAGTCTGACACCCTCCCTCTCTCTTCGAATACTAACCCCTAATATTCTTGCCATGAAAAAATAATAATAATAATAATAATAAATTAATCCAAACAGCTGATTCAGTACTTCCAAACATTTCATCAACCTAAAAAAACTAGAGAACTCATTTGCACTCTCTTCCACTGCATTGTATTATTATCGGAATAACATATCAATTTCTTGTCTGCACTATCTGATTTTCAAGTAGACGCAAGCTAAATAATGTTAACGGAGATTCGCCCTTGTTAATCCATAAAAATATGTCTTGTGCTGATGAACAAGATACTGATACAGTACATTTTCATTGGGTGGGTATTACCGACGTAGTATATCAACCGATGTGGAATATCTCGGGTGCCACACCCAATGTCTTGTCATGTACTGGCAGACATTTATATTCAACATTTAATGGCACCAGATGCTGGGGCCAAAACAACCACCACCCCTGGTCCAGATCTAAAACATAAGCACTGGAAAAATAAGCATCCCATTCCCTGCATCACTACCAAAAAGAATAACCTAATTTATCATGAATGATTAAGACATTAATGGTTAGTCTCTAACCGCTTTCTCTATCACAAGGAAATTAGAGGGTAATAAAAGAAAATTTATGTCCCTTTTCATCCAAACAATTCTGGGCAGACAGCATACTAGATCCCAAATCGTCTAAACAATTCTAGGTAGCCAATATATTATAGGCAGAAAGTGAAAGGCAGACGGGTAAAAGCTTAAAAACTCTTCGATCAGATCGAGGAGGGGAATACCTCTCTGGTGGATTTGAGAATCATTTACGAGAAAATGAGATTATATCCAAAACATCTGCACCTGACACACCACAACAAAACGATGTCGCTGAAAGAAGGAATAGAACCTTACTTGACATGGTAAGATCGATGATCAGTTATTCAAGTCTACCAGTATTCTATTTGGGGTTCTATCTGAAGCAGTTCCAAATACTCCCAAGGAATTGTATACCAGGCTTCCCATATATTCCAAAACAATTCTAGGAAGGCAATGTATTAGATCCCAAAACATCCAAACAATTCAAGACAGACAATATGTAACCAATTCATTCAAATAACTTGAGAGTTGAGTACATGCTAAAGCGTATGAAGGGGAAAGGGGAGGAGAAAAGAAGGGCAGAGATTTTTACTCATCTTCTATATTATTAGAGGGAAAGGCAAAGGGAGAAAGAAAGATCACCCTCCAAATCCACCAAAAAACCTCCAGCCTCTTTTATTCCACAAAGTTCTTAGCAAGTGAAGAGAGTACAATATCCATTTTTCCTTGACCAAACAAAATACCTTCCCTCCTTACATAGACCCCTTTCATCCATCCTACCTCTCCCCACTCCTTCCATTTTTTCATATTTCGTAACGAACAGAACACAACGGGCTCCCTGGAAGCGTCACAATCACAAGTCAAAAGGTACATAGAATATTCAATACTTTGTGCTCTAATAAGCCACGTTACTCTTACTATAATGAACACGAGTATATATATAAATGATCTGTCCAAGAGGACTTCGTTAGCAGAAAAGAGAAATGCCTAACGCATAGCAGTACCATGTTTAAGAGATCTGAAGATAATTAGCACCACAATTTGCAAAAATATATGCATAAATTAGTCTCATATCAAAATTTCCTAGTACAAGGAAAGTCCAGGAACTGCCACACATCTTTAAGGGAGAATACTTAAGGAACAGACCAGACCAATGCATAACTTACCATGGCAACTTAGCTGTTCCCATCACAGAAACCTTCCTGCTCAGCAAATAGATATGCTCCACTTTGAACAAGAACCTACTATAAGAAAGAAGTTATATACACAATTTCACCCTAGAAATACAATAATTCATCCAATTCGCCGAAAGTTTCTGAAAGAATGATATATATTATCGAACATGTAGCACAGTTGTAGCAGCGACACACTGCAGTCATCAATTGTTCAGTAAACCATTCACGAGTAGTCACACAAGCTGCACCCCGAACCTTTACAAAAACAAATATAAAATTCATCCAAAAAGTTCAACCACTTTCTCTTAAGCAATTCCCAGGCAAGAGAAATTTATACTTATCAGCTTTCTCCAGAAGATGCGATGGAAGATGAACAGCTGAGTAAGAATGAGGAATGGGTCCCATTTTCCCAATGATTTCCTTAAACGTATACTCCTCGGGAAGCATATCAAATAGGTCAGCCCCTTTGCAAATTACTCTCTGAACTCTTTTAGGGTTCAAATAGCGAGAGAACCTCACTCTGTCAAAATGGCTGTAAGCTTTCATCTTGAATATGAACTCACTGATGCGCCGAAAGCAAAAGCTACAATGCCATCCTGCATCTGCCAAGATGACATCAGACTGTCGATAATGTGCATATTGAGTCTTGCCAGATTGATATCTATGAACCGAAGCTCTCCAGCTATTATTATCCAAGAGAAACTCAAAAGAGTACAGATAATTCTTCAGCCGAAGATGAAGAACCGGAGGTATGTCATCACACCACCTTAAGAGATTGATAGTGTGTCGGCTTGGTATCTCATCAACGTCTGACATTATCAACAAGTCATCATCTGTGATACCTGCTTGTTTGAGAAGATAATCCAATACTACTCGTTGATATGCCTCCTCGACAAAGGGGTTTTCTCCCTTCTTAAATCTTCCCCCAATTTTTCCATAAGTCAGTCGTGGCTCAACAAATTTGAACTTACCCCTATTGTTGGCAAAAACCAGAGGCTTTAGCGATCCCGTGAATGTTGAATTTGACTCAAGGAGAACAAACTCTGTTACATAAGGATACAATTCTTTCCATCGTATGGTAAGAAGGTCCAGCTCGTTACTAAACAACACTGCATCATAAACACGCCTCGGGTACTCACGAGTCCTCCAACCATGAAGACTGCAAAGATTCTCCATTGACACGTTCTCGTGATAATAGTGTGGGATCTCATGAAATGGTTTGGGTGGTGACTCCCATAACGGCCGTAAAAAGTAAGAGATCTTCTGCCCGTGCAAATATATAGCAAAGACACATGTTGGGACCATAACAAATAAAAAGATAAGGGTTTTCAAATCCAGTCCTCGCAAGAAACATCTCAATCTAGACATGCTCAAAGCTCTGTTCGACTCCTGAAAGTTAGAAAGAAGACATCTATTCTTAGATTCAATGAAGAAATGCATACATATATGTATACATAAATATCCTGGAAGTTGGAAAGAAGACATATTTTCTTAGATTCAACGAAGAAATGCATACATATATGTATACATAAATATACTGTAGGAAAAAAAATTATATGCATGCATGTATGTATATATATATGCAGGAATGATGTCTTGTACACCTTAAGCAAGAAATTTATTCACATCATGAATAATCACACTTGGATAAGATTGCTATGTTTTTTTTGGTAACTACATCTATGTTTTTTGGTAACTACCTTTTTTGTAAGAGATCATTACTCCATATATATGTTTGCATATAAACTCTCAAAGCACAAGCCAAGCCAAGCCAAGCCATTACAAAATGCAAAGTTTAAAAATTTATTTATTTTTTCAATACAAGCATTAGAACGGGGAACAATGCTATAGAGGCCATTTATAACCAACAAATTCACAATACAGAAATGCATAAATTTTATAAAAATCGAAAACTCCAGATTACAAGATTTACATGCATCTCCCCTCAACATCAACTAAAAAAAAAGAAATGAAATGTTAGTACTGAATTTGGCTCTTCAGACGAAAACATGATGCATTGATGAATTGGACCTAAAATATGAATAAAGACACTTACATAACCATGTATAAGACTATAACAACCATTCAGGGGCCAGTTCTAGGGTTCAGATGCTATGCTACGATTGGGAGCACAAAAATGGCACCTTACAATTGGAATTAAAGGAAATTTAATTCATGACTCCATTTGAACTAAATTTCCACCCATTCCAATTCCAAGGAATCGATTTGGTGACATCAGGGACATATAGTAAAATTAATTCTCTGTTTGGTTGAACTAGATTTCCTCCAATTCTATTTTGAACTAAATGTACTCCAGTTGCAATTTGAAGGTCACAAATGCAACATTAGGGACAAAGAGTTCAATTACGTCTCTGTTTGGTTAGAAGGAAAATTGAGTAAGAATAAGAAATTGAATCTAGAATCCTAAAGGTTGTGTGGAAAAGTTTCATCAAACCCCAGAGAATTAAAAACCTCAAAGATACCAAAACAGAGCATAAATCTATCAAAAAGAATAAACTACCCTTCCCAGAAAGTCAAGCCAAATAAATAAATATATAAATATAAATAACCAAAATGGAAATCGAACCGTTAGATCAATTATTTATATAAATATCACATATATGGCAAAAAACTAAAAAAAAAAATTAACAAAATTACCTCATCGTAGTCATCACCACAGAAATCATCAGTCTTCTTAGAACAGTAATGAGATCCTCCTTCGGCCATCTTATACACTTTCTCACAAATTCTCGATACACTCCACATCTCTCTCTCTCTTCTCTCACAACAAAAACAACAACAAACAGTGTCTCTCTCTCTAGACCTCTCTCTCAAATTCAGCAGTCAAATAGACAATCACACTGTAAAATTCGAAACTAGAAGAGATCTTACACTCAAAATCTAGCCGTTGGGCGAGTTGGGTTTCTCTCTCTACCCAAAAAGACTACAACTTTATTTCTCTCTCTACAAACCCCATTGATAAGCACCCGGAGAGAGAGAGAGAGAGCAATACAGAGCTCTATGATGTTCAACGAATTAAACCCTCGAATAATATCAGAAATAGAAAAAAAATTAAGTTAAATAACGGGAAAAAAAACACCCCAAAAGACAATGTTAGAGAGAGAAGGAGAGAATGTTAGAGAGAGAAAGAAAGGAGAGAGAGAGTGTGTATGTGTTGGAGCCTCTCTGGTTAATGGGTGGCAGTTGTAAAGACCGAAGGGAAGCCGTTTCTCTTGTCTTCTACCCCACTTAAACTCGGATTTTAAACTATCGAATATTTGTGATTTTACCATATTAACCTTTTATTTTGTACTTTTTTTCGAATGGTGGTATGGGTATTTTCGTCATTTCATTTTCGATACGGGTCTGCCTAGGTCCACCCACGCGTCCGTTGAGTGGCTCAACACAACTGTCCGTGTCGTGCCCTTTCTTGATTTCTTCGCAAATTTAAACCTCTCTTGTCTCTCTCTGTATTTTTGTTGCCAAAATTAACCTAAAAACCAAGCACCAATAGACAGAAATGGCTGAAATTTCAGTGTGTTGAAGAACAAAACAAATGTGCAACAATCGTGTACCGTATGGAATTAGAGTTTTCCAGCTACGTGTTGGATTTGCCAATGTGTTTAAGATGTACAATATTATCCGACAACACTCGTATAAAAAAATTTCACGTATTTATAAGACTATGACAATTATTATGTATTAATTTTAGGTAACGGAGTCACGATCTTAGTTTAGACGGAGGGTAGTGTTAAGAATTTTTTTTTTATTATTTTTAAGGAGTAGAAGGGGAAAAAATAAGTAAAAGGGAAAAAGGGTAAGAAAAATGACAATTTAAAAAGGAAAAAAATTAAAATTTAATTTAATAAGAAAAATTTAATTTTTTTAAAGGAATTTAAAGAGTAAACGAAAAAAAAAAATATTAAGAGATAGTTTTAGAAACTAATAACTTAGAGGGGACATTATATAAAAATTTCATCTTTATACACGTAAAAAAAAAAAAAAAAAAAAAAAAAAAAAAAAAAAAAAAAAAAAATTATCATATGTATGGTGAGCGGGACCGGAGACAAGTCTCCCGAGCACACATAGGCTCCGCCATTAACTTTCTACTTTATGAAACAATTACTACTTATATTTGTGTAGAGTGGACAATGTAAGTCCTATATATTTATATTATTATACGGGTGTGTATTATTTAAATTCCATTTGATTAGAAAGAAAATAATATTTAAGTGTAGATATTAATAGCGTGGAAGTAAAATAAACTGTTTTTGCCTATAACAAGACAATTGATGACAATACCATTTTATTATAATTTGAAAACATCACCTTTTTGTGAAGAGTTTCAGGAATATTAAGCAATAATAAGAATGTTGCAACTAATTTAATCAGTTATCTCAAAATAGATTTCATGAACACGGAAAAGGGGAAAACGTTTTCATGAAAATTGCAAAACAAATATTCTTTTTTAACTTTATTTTTATATAATATTTAGAAGAAGAAAAAAACTAATTAAACGGATTTTCAATCAATTGCATGTTTCAGTTTTTGATAACATAAAGTTGTTACCAAAACCAAGTCCTTACTTTTTATTAAAATATATATATTTTTTAATACAAAAAATAATATATATATATATATATATATAACCTTTGCATTTCCTGCACTATTATATAAATAACTTAAAAGGGTAAAAAAAATGATAAAGCTTGGGAATCTAACCGTGAAGGACACGTGGTGACCCCATATGTACCATTGAGACCTCAGTTTCAGTCCTTTTCTGGTGAAGTCCTAAGCTATTACTATAAGCTTGGCCGGGCCAGTTTGGACTGGATTTATATATATATATATATAAAATGTAAACTATAGTTGACTCATAAATTAGGAAACGACCCTTTGTCCTTGGGGCAGCATGGCAGCACATGGGTTGGTCATTGTCAATCTCAATTATAGTATCCAACATTTGTTACCATTCTTAATCAACCCTAAATTTATAGAATTTGATAGGGTAATTGTCAAAACTTTTTACTTAAATATTATTTCTAGTCAAACAAACACCCAATCAATGGCCAGTATTTTATTTTTTATTTTTTCCCGGGTACATGTCAGTTTATGGTCCATCCACTAGTACATATAATGGGAAGTAATATTTTATACTTTTTTATTTTAAAAAAAAAAAACAATTACAAATTGATATGGAGCAACTGAACAAGTTGAGTGTAAGAGTATTTTTTAATAGATTAAAATTGTAAGACAACTTTTAAATATAATTGTGTCAGTACTACATTTTCTGAAGTGCAAATAAAATATTTCATATACAATTTGTATTAAATGCTTCTCCAAAGGGTTTAAAAAATACTTTACTTTAAAATTTCCCGTTTGTGAGCTTATTCTTTTAAAAGAGTATATTTTTTTCATAAGAAAATGATAAACAAATTTGCATATGGTGCAAATTCAGACACACCTTTGTTATTAATGAGTAAGTTATTTTTGTTATGTTTTAATATTTTTTTCTTCGTAAATATTTTACGACAATAAAATACCAAAAAATAAAAAATAAAAATATTCTACATCCCCTAAGTAAGAAAATAAATAAATGCAATAAAATTATCAAGAACCCGATAAATATAATTTGCATTTATATTTTATTCGCTATCAAAATGTATTAATTTTTTTTACTTTGAGTTTTGAACCGGTTTAGAATTTTCAGAAACGATCTTTTTTCTTTGAAATTTATCACTTAAATTTTACTTAAATGGAGTAAAAAAGTTTAAGATTAAACTACTTGTCACTTGTTAAAGACCTCTTAATTTTTTTTTAAAATACTAATAGTAATATACAATTTTCACTTAATTTTTTTATTTTTATTTTATTTTTATCAAAACCAACTAAAATAATAGTCTAATAAAATGAAGCAAATGGAACCATATTGGAATGATTCCAAGTGGAAGGGTCAACTCTTATTTTTAGTTGGGGTGTATAAAAATCAAATTGACCGGTCTAATCTAATCATGACACGAAGACCCCCTCATTCACGGTCCTCATATGGGGGTACAAGTGTCATTCATATTTTTTTTATTACTCATACATATTGTAGAAACAACTGAAACAAACACATATTTTGACCAACTCAAACTTCAAATATCAGACCACACATTTCAAGCTAGACTCGAACCATGGTCCAAGACCTACCCGTTTACCGGTCATCTCTGAAATAATATACAATATTCCGGGAGTAATTGAATTCTTCCCGGCTAAGAAAATGGAATATTTTAAGGTTAAGATTTGTTTATTTACCGATAAGTAGATTATTTCTATTGATTACTGATATGATCAAATAAAAAGTAAATGCATAGTTTACAATTTTAAAATTAGGACGATGATAAATATAAAAATCAGAGAAGATGATTGAATATTATTCCAAACAAATATATTGTCTTTATTTATAACTATTCTGATTTTGTAATTACAGTTTATTTGTGCATTTGTGATTGAACCGAATTAACGATTAAAGATAACTGAGTTGATAAATCTTGTCCATATTTTAATTGAGTGAAAGTGTTTAGCAACCAAGATTCGGTGACATTCAATAATTTTTAGCTATGAAGCACGGACACGGACACAGAATACGAGTACGATACGACACGGATACGGTGATACGACAAATTTCAAAAAAATAAGACATGGACACGGCGGGGATACGCCTATAAAATTTTATATATATATATATATATATAATTATATATTCAAAATATAATTACTAGAACAGGTATATATAAATACAAAATTGCAAATAAAACAAGAACAAATAACATGACCAATTTTAATAATTTCATTTCTGTTATAAGAAAAATATAGACAAGACAAAACAGAAAATAAATGAAAAATAAAGTTGATCCAAATTCTAAACGAAGATGTGCAGAAGAGACATAACTATAATAAGCTAAATATGTATATGAATAAATATATATACTTTCAGTCTTCCACCAAGTCTTATTCATGTAACTTAAAAAAAAAAAAGTCTTGTTCATGTAAAGAGATAATTGAAGAAGAGGAGAAAATAAATTTTTTGTGTAATACTTTATTGTCTGTAGTTGTTTTTTTATTTTTTCAAAATTTTACTTTTAAGCTTTTAAAATTAGTAAATTACATTAGGTACCCCATTTATCTTTAAAAAAAATTACAAAATATACCCCGCCATGTCCCAAGCGTGTCCGAGCTGTGTCTAATAAAAAATAATTTCTGAACACTTCACAGAAGTGTCGGACATGTGTCCGAGCCTCGGATACGGGTGTCGGTGTCCGAAAAGTGTCCGACACTGGTACGAGACCCTGGAAGGAGTGTCCATGCTTCATAGATTTTTAGACAACTCTATCATCCAATTACCATTTTAATTAAGTATTTGTTTGTCTATTTAAATGACCGATATCCAAGAAAAGATAAATAGTATCTTAAGTGATTTTATAAGCCTACAAAATGTGACAGAAAATAGAGACATATCGATCACATAATATAGACCCAATATTAGAGGACAATGCTTTTGGTCTGAATAGCATCGAAGTAACAGAAATTCCTCAATTAGAATTATTGATTAGACCGTTTACTCTTAATAGCATTGTCCTTCGAAATTACTTCATTTCATGCAAAGCAATGAAGAACAAAATTACGTCATCATTTATATATCGGATAGCCAAAACAACTTTGTTCATAAAAACCACCCGGATGGTACAAGGTCAAGACTACAATCCTCGCGTAAAGTATAATAGGAATAGATATTGAATGGGCCGGGTATATCAGGTCATTGAATTGATATGCTCGATCAATAAAAATTAATATAGTAGTTAGTTGAGAATAATTTTCAAAAATAGATGAGACCAATTTTATAGAATGATTTATTTTCATTTGCGGAGCATATTAATGAGGTGGCATGCCTAACGGAATATCTTCTCCTAAATTAGGTATTTGTTTGCGTACCCAAAAATAAATAAATAAATAAAATACCTTAATTTATAAAAGCACAACCCATAGGAGTGGGTAGGACCTTTTGTTGGGTTTGATATCCTATTGCCCCCGATCACAAAGCCAAAGTTGGCCCAATCCTTTGGGCTTTTTATATTGGCGTAATGTGGTATGGCATTCATCCTTTGGTCCTAAGGCAGAAGTACACCTTATAGCTAGATATTTTGAAGCGGCCCAAAACCTAATTAAAATATTTGAGACACC